ATAAATGGGCTCGTTTCTGGCATCCGGAGAGTCTCCGGAGCCCAGGACAGGCCGTTTTCGCCCTCTCAGAGGCTCAAGGAAAGCTTCCAGAGCCTGGGGAGGGCAAAAACTGTTAGATTCCGAGCTGAATGAAGAGGCGTGAGGCAGCTGAGGTAAGTAGAACAGCTATTTATTAAACAGAACTAGCAAACAGCAACTATGTACATAATTCAGCACCTCGTCCTGTTTGACAGCTATTTATACTAGAGCTGTCAAGCAGGGCGACCAATAGGAGCACTGTAGGCAGCCCGCGCTTAGCCAATCAGGCGCGGCTGAGCTGTTGCCGGCTGTCAATCGTAAGTCGAGGACTTGCGACCAGTTGTAAATCGAGGACCTTAGATCCGCTCGCAAGTCGAGGACTTAGCAAAACGCCCTCTGCCACATGGGGCAAGAAGCCAACCAGACCATGCCCCCATGGCCATGTCCACCCAGCAACCAAGCAGAGAACCGGTTGCTAAATTTTTTCAATCCCATCCCTGCCCTGAGTTATATGTACTGGCCCATAAATTTAAGAATCATAGAAGCAAACCAAAAGCTTGCTAAAAATATAGGTTTTTTACATCATCCATTGATGGCAGGTATTACCCAGTGAATTCTTAATGTTCTGTAGCTATGAGACCTCAGACCATTTTCACATAATGGCTTGGTAGCACTCAAATACCACAGGAGTCTCAAGATATGGTTTAATGAGGGACTAAATGAAACGTTGGCTAGTTTAGATATCTTTTCAAAATTAACTTGGGTTGGAGGTCATTTTGATAATAGTGTAGGGTCACATTTGCTACCTGCTTCCCAATGTTTTAACTGGCTTATGGCACCAGCTACTATAGTAACCATGGCTTTAGAAAGCTCTTATCTGCTTTTATTACCTATTAGTTGCTGACATTTGTGAGCATGATCAAAACTGTCATTTGCTGGCAATGAGATCATCTTTTGGGGCTTATTTTCACAGACGGTTATCCTTTCCCCAATCAATGTAATTCCTTTAGTCTTCACTGAACTTTTATAAAAGCTTCAGCTACGGTAATATTTTATAATTATAAAATATTTTTATAATATTGACCTCATGTTAAAACTATCTTACTACTTGGACAAGGTTCCGCTGTAGGAATTTTGTGTACACTATGATTAAGAACTTTTAGGTTGGAAAGCATCAATCAAGAATGTAAGAAGAAATAGAAGTGTGTTTGGATTAAATTATGTTATAATTATCTTCCTGGAAGTGACAAAACGTAGTACACTCCAGTGAGGCATTTGTAGGGAAGGGTCTTTGAAGTTCTTGAAACACAGAACACAGAAGTGGCAGATGAGAAATCTGTAAACTAATGGCCCTGCAGAAAATGAGGAAAGAAATATAACTTTGGGCTACCAAGATTTAATTTAATCAGTATGTTTTTATATGGTTGGGATATTCAGATTTGATATTGGGGTGCCAAACAGCCATGCCACCATCATATTAATTATAAAGTGTAAATATGGGCATACATCACAACAATTACTTTTTGAAACCTGGCAGTAAACTTCATGAATTTCTTTGAATCATGCTTCCAAGTCGGTATAATGGGAATTGGTTGCTTTTTGAATTAGGTTAGAGTAGTGCCATCTAGTGACAATGTTTTAGAATAGATAGTTTAAAACTTGATCTCAGGATGTATTGATGTCACTTCGATTTGGCCAGGAATTAATTTAATCAGCTTTTCCCCATAAGAGACACTTATGCAAACTATACATTTGAAAAATTCAAAAATTTGATTTACCCATGCCTAAACTGCAACAGAGTACAAAATAGTAACAACAACAACAACAACAACACCTTACTCGGAACTGCCTATATACACAGGTGTTATCTTAGCAGCTCTTAGGTTCTTGATTAGGACTTGAACTGTTAAGTTTTTAACCAGTCCCAGGCTGTGAATAGAATTGAAGATTAAATTTAAATAACAACAACATTAATAATAGCTATTGGGTCATCCCTATAATCAACACTTACTACCGTACTTTGCAAGGGTGGGAATCTTTTCACAAAGAAACATTTAATATATGAAAATTTAACACAATAATTAAATTTCCAATCCCTTGTTGCGCTGTCATTCAAATACTCCTGATTCTTCATGACCAATAGTCACAAGGATTATCTGTCAATAACTGGTTCTTTGCATTCTTATAAATTCATACTTGGTGATTGCTTAAAGCCATCTTGTCTTTTATTGATCTCTTTTTCAATTGCCTTTGATTTTTCCAAGCCTTGGTGTCTTCTCCAGTGATTCTTGTCTTTACGCGTCCAAAATATCCAAGCTTCAGCTTCATTATTAATGCTTCCAGC